CAGTGTCCGTCCTGTGTTGCGTGTGTTATAACATGTTTACACGTCATGCAGCTCAGTGTCCGTCCTGTGTTACGTGTGTTATAACATGTTTATACGTCATGCAGCTTAGGATCATTTGAAATCATTTACTGGATGTGTACTTCCTTCACGCTTAAAATCTTTGTCCAATATCGTTTTGTTTTATGGTCACGATTCATCTCGTAGCAAGAGTTTTCTGAAACGGCAACGGAGAAAACGGATGAGACGACCAGAGGTGTTATTACTGATGCTGCTGTAGTCTGAAGTATCCGGTTTATAACTTACACTGCAGCCAGCCACTAGGGGGCGATCCAGACGCCTCTGATTCACAGATGTCTGTCGTCCATCTTTATTTGTTAGTCTTTGATTGTGTGACAGTGCGACACTATTAGATTGTATGTTGGCATTCCTGTGGTGAGGTCATGAGAACGCTGCTGCTAGGCAACAGCAATATGGACGCTAACTGTAAGTAACTGCGTGATTACAGAGTTTAGAGAGTTTAGTTTGCTGGTGTTGACGTCTGTGTTTTAAAGGAACAACATCACGGTGTTATTGAGGTCAAGCTCCTGTTTGTTCAGACACTGTGAAACGCTTTGGCTTCACTTTTGTGGAGCAGCCATGTTGTCCATCTTTATTTACCGTTGATAATATTATTATTAGGGTCTGTGAGTAGAAGTCGCAGAGGTTAACAGCTTAGCAAGCTAGCAGAGCAGAAAGATGAGACTGTTGAATGAGAACGAGATTGTGATTACAAGTTGTATATTTTTTATGTATCGTCTGACAACTGCGTTTGTCATGTGACTGTTTTGGTCCAATCGTGATCGAGTCATCACATCTGTGGTAAACGTTATTATTAAATTAGCTAATTTTGCATTTTACGCATTGATTCACCAGTTTTTTCCAACTCAGCAACATTTTTACAAAGTTTTACAAAAATGTACCCTCAGGTTTTTTTTCATTTAAGTTTTAAACTTGTTTTAAATGCAACCAATAGGTCACAAGTTGGTATTAACACTTTATTGACTGTGTAATTTAACATTACAGAAATGTTATTTTCACGTTTCGCCACATCAGTGGTTTAATAACCGGTTCATCAGCGGGTTGAATCTGTCGTGTGTTTTCTTCCTGCAGGCTCTGTGGCAACAGTTTGAGCTGCTTCAGGCTGCGTCTTCACTTTGGTTCCATTTGTTGCCCTAGTTTCAGTCGTCACTGTGAAACATCTAACAATCGCTTCCATTATTGATCAATCTGCTGATCTTCCTCTTCCAGATTAATCAATCGATACTTTGTACGTTGTTTTTCACAACAGTCCAAACTCCTTAGAATCAGTTCACTGTCATTTAACGTTTGCTCAGGAAATAACTAAAATATACAATGATCAAAATATTTGCAGATTAAATCTTTATTTTACTAATCCATCATGTGACTTCTTCAGCTCCGGCAGATTTACTTTCTTTCTCTAAATTATGATCAACACCGCAGACAAAACTTGAGAACAAATGTTTGGATTTGTAAAAACATCATAATTAGTTTTCTTTACATTTTAAGCTACACGCTTTAAAATATCATTAATAGTAGATGTTACTGTGCAGCTTGGGATCAATTAAGTGCCACTGATTGATCTACAGAGGCCTTTGAGGGACAGAAATACACCGGCAGCAGATTGACGTGATAAAAGGAGGCACTCTGTCTTTTACTTCCTCCTTATCCAGGTCACTTTCTGAACATCTTGCTGCGAAGTACACACGCTCACATTGCTGCATTTTTCCCACTCGTCCTGCCGAGCAGCATGTCGCGGCTGCTCGCCGGCACTCTGGAATTTCCAGCGCGGTGTCAATTTCACATTCAGAACGCCGTTAGCGTGCATCTGTCAGGCTCGCAGTGAGGAATACTCGACATGTTCTCCAGCGTTCTGTCAATCCCTGTTACATTATCAGAGTATAGTTTAGAGGGCGGGGCTCTGTGGAGCTGCTGAGGGGCCACAGGGAAACATTTTGAATTAGAGCCTGATGTTTTTGACATTTTAACATTAAAGCCGTTGGTTAATAAGCAAGTGTTTCTTTAAGGTTCTATCACGTTTGTTAACTTTGTGCCTGCAGTTTGTTGCAGGAATGTGTCCTTGGTAGCACCGTGTTCGCGTGACGGAGAATGTTCCAGGTCCTGTCGTTTGCATGTCCTTTGCCGTGTCGTCGTTTTACAGCACGCTGGCATCTGAGTCGTCCTCATTAGCAGGATTATACCAAGTGTTCAGATTAAGGCAGAAAGCAGCAGCACACACCATCTGTCTGCTTCGAGCTGCGTTCTGCGGCTGTGACACCCAGAGCCGGGCCGTGGACTGTGAGGGTCGCAGCACGTCCTCAGTGAGGTTAAATACTAAAATCATCTACTACAGCAGATGATTTTCTCAATTTATTGATTAGCTGATGATTGATGGCGTTGGAGTCAGATGTCACACACGTCCCCTAGAGAGAGGTAGGCAGTGTATGTGGGATTATCAGGCTATATTAAAACCTTCATCCTCCTTAGACTGAATCAACCTGTGGGACCCAAACAGACTCCAGACTCCTGAAGGGACCTGGTCCTGGGTCACTCCGGTCCGAGGCTGTGTTCATGTGAAGCAAGAAAGAACTCGAAAGACTAATATAGACTCATAACCATTAACCAATCAAAACAGCAGATTTATTAACTGTGAAAATATTTGCCCTACGAAGATGAATTCATAAAGTAATGTTCTAATGTTGAGATGAGTTTTTTTAAGTTTTGCTAATTGAATAAAAATGACATCATGTCTCAGCTGGACGTTCATGATCTCATGTAACAGTGAGAGGGACGTGGTGGCCTTTGTTTGAAGGCTCATACAGTTAATGTTGGTTTTGTGACAGTTTGTCATAATTACTTTTAGGCTCAAGAGTAATTTGAATATGTTCTGCTGTTGAGTTAACGGGCGGATGTTTGTTTAACAAATGTAGTTGTTTGTTCGCTCCTCTTTAGTCTCGTGTGTTTACAGGAAAAGACTTTACCGTCTCAGAGTTAAGTCTAAATGTGTGTGTCTGATATTTAAAGTTTCAGTCTGAGCCATTTGTGTTTGCCTCAGTGTGTCAGTCTGTACCAATAAAGCTGTTTCAGACATTAACTCCAGAAAATATGCATAAAATTGAGTCTGGATATTTTCTGTAGTTTGGACATTGTCCGGGTCAGACTCATTACAACTACAATTGATTCTGACATTGAGAACCTTCAGAACATTTCAGGAAAATGTTCAGACTTTTAGTTTATGTCTAAAATTTCTCATCTTTTTTCTCTTTGTCTCTTCTCAGGCAAAGTGGGTGAGCCGGTCTACTCTCCTGGTCACAGCGGCTCTCAGACAACGTCGCCCGTCGCCCTGCCACCGCTTCGAAACAACAACCACCACCTCCTGACGGTACACACAGCTGCACTTATTGTGTTAGCATGCTGTTAGCATGTGGAGCAGTCAGCTGTAGCCTAAGGCTAATAATAGCCCTCTGCTCTGGGACGCTTTAAACAGCTGATTGGTTTATAGGCTGGTTTGAAGGAGACATGGACACACACACACACACACACACACACACACACACACACACACACACACACACTGGACTAATGGTATAAAGGGACTGACTGACATTTATCAATGATATCATTACTATTAGAATTAGAAAGGATTAGCAATAGCATCATCAGCCTGTTACAGCAGAGGCCTTTATGACATATTATTAGTTCACAGGAAACTTTAACATACAGTGTGTGTGTGTGTGTGTGTGTGTGTTGTCAGGAATGGGTGGAGTCAACAGAACCAAACACTTTGTTCTCCTATGTCACTGTAACTACTGACAACATACAAACACACATGCACGTCGGCTGTCTGTGTGATTGTTGCTTTTCCATGTTGTTGTACTTTTTCATTACAGGTGGTGATGAGGTTCAGTTCAAAAACCTGCTGTTTACCACACCACAATAATGTGTAACTGTGTGCAAGTGTGTGTGTGTGTTATCTGAAAGGACCCAGGTGTTCTGGTCACCACGGCGACAAGGAGTGACTCACTGAGCGAGAGACACATAAAGGGAGAGAGAGAGAGACCAGTCTATTTATAAAAAAATAGATTATTATTAAACTAATTGAGTCAATTCAAAGGAACAAATGATGATTGGTTATTAAGAACAGAGACAGTTTCTCAAAGTCTCCTATGTTGCGTTCAAGAACATACCAACAACTGAGGTTGACAATATTTTTAGTTCATGTTTTACTGAACCTGTTGCTGCTGCAGCAACGTTGACAAAAAGTTGGAAGGAAGATCAGAAAACTTTTAGATCAAGATCAGATGTAATGAAATCAGAAGTTCTGATGCTTCTCCGTGTTTCCCCTCAGGGAGGCTCTAAAGCCGTCATGGCGGACACTGTCCAGCTATCGTCACAGTCACAGGTCCACATCACCCAGCTGTACGAGGAAAACACCAACAAGCGTCCAGTCCTGACCTCCCAGCCCAATGGCCTGGCTCCACTCAGCTCCACCCGACCGGGCCTGCCGCTGCCTGACCGGCAGACGTCGTCTTCAGAGCCCGGCCACCACTGCCGCCAGGGCAGTGCCACCTCCAACAAGTCGACAGACAGCAAACCAAAGTCCAACCCCCTGTCCCCGGAGCAGGCCATGAAGCAGTTCATGTCCAAAATGTCCTCGTTTGAACACCACGAGGTCTTCGGGTACTCTGAGGGTGAGCAGCCTTCGTAAGATGCTTATCTTGATTGGTTAATGCTGATAATAGCAAACGAATAAGAGCTCAAATGTTAATTATTCAATTAATATTAATTGAATTCTTATCCGATTAAGAGAAACATTCAGGATTTACTTAATTTCTTTGCAGCTTTGGAATTATCATTACTAAAATACAAATACACACAAACCAAAGATTGTTCCTGATTGGCACTAATAAGACTAGTAAATAATTGATAATAATTATTATTATTACTTTCTCTCCAGTGTATTTTGTTGGTCCGAATTCTAAGAAGAGGTCAGGGGTCATGGGCGGAGCCAACAACAGCGGCTACGACGATGATCAGGGATCCTACATCCACATCCCACATGACCACATCGCCTACCGCTATGAAGTCCTTAAGGTCATCGGCAAGGGCAGCTTTGGACAGGTATGATTACAACTACAGTCTGACACTAGTGATTAGTCGTCTGCTGGTGGGATGTGTCCGCTATATGTTGAAGAAACAATCAAGCCTTTCTACTCTGCAATAGGGAAGGTCTAATAGATTGAAGTTAATGAGAGCGTTGTGTTTCTGCTCCCCCTGAAGGTGGTGAAGGCGTTCGATCACAAGTCGCAGACTCACGTGGCTCTGAAGATGGTCCGCAACGAGAAACGCTTCCACCGGCAGGCGGCGGAGGAGATCCGCATCCTGGAGCACCTGAGGAAGCAGGACAAGGACTTAAGCATGAACGTCATCCACATGCTAGAACACTTCACCTTCCGAAACCATATTTGCATGACCTTTGAGCTGCTCAGCATGAACCTGTACGAGCTCATCAAGAAGAACAAGTTCCAGGGCTTCAGCCTCCCGCTGGTCAGGAAGTTTGCCCACTCCATCCTGCAGTGTCTGGAATCACTTCACAACAACCGCATCATCCACTGCGACCTCAAACCTGAGAACATTTTACTCAAACAACAGGGACGCAGCGGCATCAAGGTGCGAAAGAAAACCACTTCTGTGTTTGCTGGGTTAGCTATTGAAGGCATGAAATTTAATCAATAAAAAATGCTCTTTATCTTACTCCTTGTCTCTAGGTCATCGATTTTGGTTCCAGCTGTTATGAGCATCAAAGAGTTTACACGTACATCCAGTCCCGGTTTTACCGAGCTCCAGAGGTCATCCTCGGTAAGAAGAGAGGAACTCAAAGGAAATTAAAGCAAGGCTAAGCTAATGAGTTACCTAAAGAGTAACTTATTCACTTCACAATTTTCTGTCATTGTGAAAGCTGATGGCATTGTTTAGAAAATGTAGGAATGGAAAGTATGAATCATCAGGTAATTTTGCATCTTGAGTCTGGATTTTGATGGTTGACATCTGCCCTCTCCTTCAGGCTCCAGGTATGGGATGCCTATCGACATGTGGTCCCTGGGCTGCATTCTGGCTGAGCTGCTGACTGGGTACCCGCTGTTACCGGGTGAAGATGAAGCCGACCAGCTGGCTTGCAGTATCGAACTCCTAGGCATGCCCAGCCAGAAGCTCCTTGACGGCTCCAAACGAGCAAAGAACTTTGTCTCGTCCAAAGGGTACCCGCGGTACTGCACCGTAACCACGCTACCCGACAGCAGCACTGTGCTGAACGGTGGACGATCACGGCGGGGGAAGGTACGCGGGCCACCGGGCAGCAAAGACTGGAGTGCAGCACTAAAAGGCTGCGACGACGCACTGTTCTTGGACTTCCTTAAACAGTGCCTGGAGTGGGACCCAGCACTCAGGATGACGCCCAGCCGTGCTCTGCGCCACCCATGGCTGAGGAGGCGACTTCCCAAGCCACCAGCAGGAACCACCACCACAGGGGAGAAGACCTCGTCATCTAAACGGGCCTCCACCACCTCCGACAGCGGCATCAGCTCCATCTCCAAGCTCACCACCATCTCCTCAACCACGACATCCTCCTCCTCCAAAACCAGGACTAACTTGGCCGCAATCACCGATGCCAATGGAAACATCCAGCCTAGGACGGTCCTACCCAAACTGGTCAGCTGAGAGTGAATGCACCCCACTCGCTGTCATGGCAAGTGAAAGCTGTGCTCCCCAATTAGCTGCGAGTAACCAGCTGGACCTGAATAAAACTGGTTTGTCCAGTTTTGAAGAGCGTTTGGTTTTTTGAAACTGGCTTTCACAGCGTTGTTGGGGTGCATGCAGAACAAATGCAGTCATGGAGGCTGTGCACTGGGTTGTTAAAATGTGCAGAATTGCTTGGCTGGGACGTAAACTAAGCTGAAGGAAACTTGATTGATGAACTGGGGTGCATTGTCAGTCTTGACAATTTGTTGTTTTATGTTGTGAGCAGCAAGACGTGTTTGAAATGATTGTGAGGCTGCTACGACAATCAAAACACACAACATCGCTCTGTAGCTGCGAACACACAAACACTCAAACATGGTGCTGATGGAGGGAACAAGGCTTTTTGTTTTTAGTACATAATCTATTTAGCTGAGCTAACACTTGATTCACGGAGTAGACACCAAAAACAACTCTTATTGATTTTAGTCTTACAAGGTTATATCTGTTCAACAATAACAGGGACTCATAGAAAATATCTATGTAGTTAACTGACTAAATAATGCAGATATATCCTTATAATACTAAAGCCACAGCAGTGATTAGCTGGCTAGTCTTTGTTTCATATCTCTAGAAATAATGTTACATTAGAGTTTGGGGAACACGAGTGGGCTAATGTCAATATTCACATAAATGACTCGAAATTCATCGAAGTAAAAAAAAATATCCTAATGACCCAGATGGAACCATCATCTACCTGTTAGCTGGCTAACTTTCCTAGCTAGCTGTTTTACAGTGTTGCTAGCTTCGTGCCTCTCAGCTAGCTAACTGCTAACTGGCACTGGTCAGTTGGTAGACAGCTACTTGTTTGTGTCTAGCTGTTATATTGCTACCTGTTTAGACCTAACTGGCTAGCAGTTAGCCTAGCTTTAGCTGGCTCACTATTAGCCTTTTTTGGCAGTCAGATGGCTAGCCTTAGCCTCCTTTAGCCATAGCCTGTTAGCTCTCCACTGCCCAGCCTTACGAAGCACAGATAGAATGACTTAACATTTTTAACGCCTCAGATTTATATGATTTTAAAGTATTTTTAAGTTTGGTGAAGGTTAGCAGAGAGAGCGAAGAGGTGACGAGCGAGAAAAAGGAAAGGAGAAGGTGTGTGATTATTAATGACACCAAATGGTTGTTAAAGGAGGAGAAAGAAGAAAGTGGACTGAAGGTGGTTTTATAGACAAGTTTCAACAAAGGGCTCCGATATGTGTTAGAAACCAAAGTCTTGTTTATAGTCGTGAAGCCTTCACTCCGTATTGTTTATATTTGATCCGCCAATATTGAAAGACCAGATAAAAAAAGCTGTCAGCTCATCTGGATATAAAAGTCTGTTAGTTACAGATAACCAACGTTAATCAAAGACCTTCAGCCACACAGGGATCACATGAGACCAAATTCTCTCCCTTAATGTCACAGCACAGAGCAGGATGTGTTCGGACTGTTACGTTTTGAGGGACGGCCCGAGAGAGCGGAGAGGATCGAACGTTTCTTCCCTCCGGCTGTTTGGAAAACAAAGCAGCTCTCAGGATTTCACAGCTTTAAACCCCAGATTAAAACGAGATCCTGCGTGACGTCCCGAATCATAAATATGTTTTAAGAAGCATGTTTTTGTAACTGGAGCTTGGCAGCAGCGAGACCCTCACATCGGCCCTGTGCAGAGAAACGTGAGTCTCGAGTCATATTTTAGGACTACAGACTGTAACTGTTACTCTGAAGCTGTCAGATATGCAGACAGAGATTTATCTGGTTCAGCGTGGATGTGTGAACGATGCAGCAGAGAACCACGACTCTAATTTCTACCCCGATCAAGTGCTTCAATAAGACGAATACATTTTAACCAAGGAATTCAAAGAAGCAGAATCACGTTTTTCAACTTGACAACCAACATGTCGTTAGCATGTGACGGTGCTGGATGATGCAAAGCTCCAGTTTTAATTCAGGGTTTCCTTCAGAGTAACAATTAAAGTACGTCTGAGAGTATGAATGACTCTCAACAGTATTTAGTGAAGATAACAATTTAAAAGGGTCCAGTTACACCACTAAAGTTTTTCTGAGCTGATCAGAAGCAAATAGTCCTGTTTGTCTGTCATTAAGGCTACGTCCACACTGCTATGTTTTAGTTTTAAAACGTATCACTGTTGCTATGGTTACACCTGCCGTCCACACTACTCCGGAGTTTCAAGCCTCCAAATCAAAGACTTTTATAAACACTGCTGGCCTTGTTATATTTTGAAAACTCCAGGGTTGCGTTTCAGTCTGGACTATGTTTAAAAATGTTCTCTTCCTGATTGGATCAGTCACATGACTCGACTACCAGCGGTGAATTCAAAGCGTCGCTAACACGCTTGTCAGTAACAGTTCCACCTCGTCATCCCTCCTCTTACTTTTCTCCGTGGCTTTCCTTCGTTTCGATGTATTTTCTGTAACTAAACGACCAACTGCAGAGAAGACAATCTACTTCCTGTTTACACCACATGACCAGTGTGCGTGAATGGTCATGTGCTTATGTGTTAGTCAGAGTATTCTGAGAGTAAGTGGAGCTAAAACACTCGTGTGGATTGAGGTCATTTTTGTTTTGGACGTATTAGTATGGATGTAGTCTACGCAGTCAAAATACTTGATTCCAGAGTGAGACTGGCTCAAATTTTCGTAATAACCATGATTATAAGACGTGTTTACACTGAACACAGATAATTCTCTGTAAACTCTCAACTTTAGCAACTTTCACTGCTACAAACAACCGATCACGTGACTGGACCCAGATTCTCTCAAACAATAAACGTTTATTCAACAGAAGGATTCTTGTATAAAGTGAAGTTACAGAACATGAATCATGAACGACCTGATCCAAAACAGAAAAATGACCAGTTCCAGTAATGTGTCGACTCTGATCAAACTGATTGATTGATCAGAGGTCAGTATTAGTTAAAGGATCAATCAGTGTGATTGGGCGGGGGGGATGTTTCTTATTTATTTACTCCACTTTTATTGATATTTATTACTCTAATCTACATATTTACTATGATGTGCAGTTCATACCGTATACTTGAATGTGTGTGTGTGTCAGATGTATGTAGCAGTGTGTGTGTGTGTGTGTGCGATGTCGATGTTAGGACAGGTCCTCTGAAAAGCTTGTTCCCTCACACAAACACACATTTATCGATATAAAAATCTTAACACACTCTGAGAAGTGGATCACGCCAGGACGAAGATGAAGAGGAGGAGGAGGAAGAAGATCCCAGGGCTGGTCATGTGATGACGTCAGCCTGACAAATGTGTTTTACCGAGCACACGAGAAGAAGAGGACGACGACAATGATGTGACGCACATAAGGAGGTTCTCACGTAAAACACAGACTACCAGCTCCGCCCACCTCAGGGGAAACTCTGCCCCCTCTGGACGGAGGAGGACGCGTGGGCCGGCCCTCTGTGATGTTTGTTTTCTAAAGATTTGATTGATTGGTTTGTTGAGTATGTTTTTTAAGTTTTTTATGTTTTTTAGTGAGAAGGAGCGCTGAGAGTCGTAACTTTGTGCCTTCAGCATCTCATCGCCATGCTGCGCCCGCCCAACACACACACACACATTTATAGTGGTGATGTCATAGCAACAATCACTAGTACTGGTGCAACTTACGATTTTACCCTCACGGCTCAAGTTACCACAGAAATTTCCACCAATCAGATGCAGAAGGTTGATTCAAATCCTCTGATGGAGAATCCTCGTTAACATCAACATGAAGTAATTACTCCTGCATCTCTCAACGTTCTCTATTTGATTCTAAGTTTTGTCCACGAAAAAGTCAAAAAACTTTGAGGAACAATTCCTCACAGCACGTGTCTGGTTTTTCTAACTGTTTTTTAAAGCTTTTTAATTTAGCATCTTGAGTCTGCTAATCTCAAAATTCCTGAATTTTATAATCTCAGAACAGAGTGAAGAATTTTGACTGAATTCTCTCAAATCATCGGACACAAAGTCACAAGTTGGATTTTATCAAGTAATACATTTTTTAATCGATTCTGAATATTTTATACTCACATGTGTGTATTTGTATTTTTCCAAAGTAGAAATTCACCTTTCAGAGGAGATGGGCTGAAGTTTCTGTGGGCGGAGCCAGTTCACAGGCCAACGCACTGACCACAGACTGTAGCTTTAAACTGACAGACATCTTCCTGTGTGTGTGCGCGTGTGTGTGTGTTGGGGTGAGTTGTGCAACATGGCTGCACAATGTACAGACACATATCAGCCAACTGTCGCCTCGGTTGAGACGGGCGACGCCTGCTGACGACAGGGCTAAGCTAACACTAGCCGATCGACTGCTAGCGTCCAGCCGCTAGCTGCTGCACTGACGTTTATTTTCTCTACAGTGAAGCTAACACTAGCCTACAGCTAACTGGCTGCTAGTAGCACATAGCACGTGTTTACCTGCTAGCTACAGTCAGGTTGAGCTCCTCACAGTTGTGCTCATGCAAACTGTTAGCGTTAGCATTAATGTGGTTTTAAAGCGTTCTTTTTCCATGTTGGTACCTCAGATTACTCAGTTATCATTATTAATATTATCATGATTAGTGTTGTCATTGTTGTGACTAACACCCAGGGCATTTGGTTGAATCTACCAAAGTGCATTCCTTTACAAAGCTAGCTAAAGCTAGCTGCAGACAGACTGACAGACGAGTAGATGGAAAGTCCAACAGAAATGTCGTGAATACGGAGGGAATCAGAGGAGAAGCAGGAGGAACTCACCGTGGACGCCACGTTTTTTACAAAGAGCTGATGAAATGACCGCGGTCGTCCGGTTTACCGCTGACCTCCTGGTAGCATGTGTGAAAGCTCGTTAGCCATTTAGCTTCTATTGGGAGATCTCTACAGCCAGAGGTTAGCCACTGTTAGCGTGAAGCTACACTAAGTTTCTGTGACGTTTGACGGCTGCGTGTTATTGTGGATTTTATCTGTAAATAATGTTGAAAAAAGTTTGAATAACACATGTGTGGGGTTGAATGCTGCTGTGCCACCGCGGCCAGTTTTACAATGTACTGTATCTACTGTACAGAACACAGACGTCGACACTTTTCTAGTGAGCCTTTGTTAAATTTTATTGTGGTGAAAAAATCTTATTATTATTAATAAAACAGTTTTATTGTTGATTTAATGTGTTGTCCTTTCAGCGAGTGCCTCAGTAAGTTGGTTCATCAGGAGTGCGTCTGCTGTACAGCTATCAAAACTATAATGTGTTAGCTTGGTGGCTAGTTGACTAGCTTAGTTGAAGCAAAAAAAAACTATATTTAAGCTAAGTTGCAATAGCTAATTATAAAACAGGCATTTTAACTAAGTTTAAGTAAGAAAACAAAGAAATATAATGATCGAATACAAACATTTTAAATGTTAAGCTAACGGATAGATTTCTATTCATTATAAGATTTAGTGGCCTGAAGTACAGAACAGGTATATTTTAATTTTAGATGATGCAAATAAATATCAGAAGAAAGAAACAACTCAACTTCGAGGAGGCTGCTGTTACCATGACAACTTGGGGTGCCAATGAATGCATGAAGGAGGAAGGAAACCCTAAGACGCGTTGTCATGACGACCAGCACACACACACACACACACACACACACACACACACACACACACTAAATAGCAGTGTTTACATTAGTACACAACAGATTATCAAAATACCAGAGACACACACACACTTTGTCATGCACTTTTTTTTCACACTCTCTTTGTTCCTCTCTCCATCATTGATAATTGGTTCAGTGAACAAACGATGAGCAGCTGTGTTCTTATTTAGGAAGCAGGGAGATTACCAGGAAGTAGACGGTTACTAACTATAGAAGCTAGCATGATGCTAACAGATCAAGGCAGCCCTGCAGGATGCTCACCTATGGTGCGACATAAAAACCCCATGGATGACATTTTCAAACAAAAGCTACGTCCACACTGGTGTGTAATAAATGCATCGCTGTTACTACGGTTACAGCCTCAGACGTCTGTAAATGTTGCTGGTCTCGTTTTATTTTGAAAATGGGGTGGTTAACTTTTGAAAACACTATTTTAAGATGAAATCTTATTTGCGTGGCTTTAGCTTACAGTGTGATCAGCAGCCTCAGTTTTCGGGAATGGAAGATATAAGCGGAGCGACAGTTTGGGTGGAGCCTGAGATAAAAGACGAGTGGTGTTGAAGTGAGTTTGTTCTTTTACCATCGTGCACACGTCAAACAAAAACCTGAAACCTCCATCACATTCTGCTGAGTCGCTGCAGAGTCACTGGACGCCTCCACACACTGAAACCAATGATCCTCACCTCAGTGTGTGTGTGAGCTCAGACTTACATCCAGTTTTAAATAGACACACACTCTCTCTCTCTCTGTCACTCACACACACACTCACACACACTCTGGTAACCTGAGTATGGGTCCAAATTAATCTCCACTTACTGTACAAATGTTAAAGCAGCTTCACAACACAGGCTCGACTCTCATTCAGTAACTTCTGCTCCTTTAGTTGAAGACAGCAGGAAAACTATTTTTCACTCCATGTTAACTTTTTCCTCAGCACTGGGAAATCTCAAATGAATACTTTTATTTTGAAAGGCACTTCTTATTTGCATATACTTCCCAGCATGCAGTGCACTTCACACACTTCTCGTGCATGGACTTTAGATAAAGATGGACAGCATGCTAGTTCCTGAAAGTGAGGCCACAGCATCTCGATTGCCCCCTGGTGTCTGGCTGCAGTATCGCTCATTAACCTCACCTCCTCCATGTTAGCTGATGGGGCATCGACCAAGCAAAAACAAATCATACATTTCAGGTCGTTCTTGTCACACTGATGTTTGTTCAAGTGTTTCTGATCACTTTGGTTTTAATTAGTTATCTGACGATGATTGACAGCTGAGACTGACTCGTGATTGGTTGAGCGTGTGTATTGGCGGGACCTGGATACCACAGCACACACCCTGACCCCCCAAAGTGGCAGCATTGGTGTCCGAAATATTTTAGCATCACGTCTGAGGAAGAAGTGGAGACGCCTCGTCTGTCTTTACTTCCCTGGTGAACACATTCTAACCCAGTCTGACTGGATTTACTTTTGTATCTAATCCCAATCTAAAACCATTCTAACCCACTCTAAAACCACTGAGCCCATTTAAATCCAAATATAGCCCCTTCTAAGGCTTTTATATCCGTTCTAAACCCATTCTAGAAGCTTCTAATCCATTCTAATCCATTCAAACACTCATCGAAACCTGTAACCACAATAAATCTACTTCAATCTTATCAATAATCAACAATTCACTCAAAACCAACAGTAACCCAAACATTCGGAGCCTCTTTCCTTCCTTCAAGTCCTCGTTCCACACAAACCGAGTCTCAACCACATTCGGACTCAATGTGAATCTGCAGCCTTCAGCTTTTTAAAGTGAAGACGTGAAGGAACGTTCAAATATTCTGCATCACGTTAAATCTGTTTTCAGTGATTTAAACTCACTCTGACTCTCAGAGTTTCGACTTCGTGTCTTTCAGTCTCAATCGTTTCACCTTCTGCCGACAGTTTGAAAACCTAAATATAAAACCAGTCATGGAAACTGTCTCTCTACCTGCCTCGCTCTCTCTCTCTGTATAATTGAACATAGACTCGACCAGCAGCAGCAGCCGCTCGCTGATCTGCACCGAGGGTCTCTGAGTTCAGGACACATACAAAACTCTGTGTGTGTGTGTGTGTGTATTCAGATGGTGTCAGATTTGTCAGGCCAGAGGTCAGTTTATTTCCAGCGTCTCTCTTCATCATACAGTCGTCCGTCACACACACACAAACCCACACACACACACACACACACACACACACACACACACACACACACACACAGGGAAACGTTTACTCTGATTCTCTTCTCTCACTTCTTCCTGCGTTAACTCCGACATGATGATTAACTATTGGGAGCAGAGATATACTTTACGTGTGAACTTTCTACTGCACGTTGAAATTCCACATTTATGAATCAGAGTGTTTTTTGTCACTGCACTGGAGTAAGAACACTGGAGAATACTCTGCCGCCTCCTAGTGGTCACACCGCATCCGTACATTTTCTTAAACATCTCTGCTTTAAAGAAAAGGACGTGAGTCATAATCAAACTCTGCTCTACAACATGTTCACAGGAATATAAATGGAATGTTCTGTCAGTAACTCATGTAAACATCATTACTGAATTCATTTCTTATTCTGGCTCGGGTCAACACTCAGAATATTAAACACAGTCAGTGTGAACAACAGCTGTAATGTTTAAATATAAAAAAATAAAGGATTCATTTGCAAAGTTCCTCCACTAGATGTCAGCAGAGGCATCACACACACCCACACACCACACACACGCACGCACACACGCACACACACATGCATAAGGTGGGGAAACAGTTTAATTCACTGTTTTACTTTTTGACCCCATGGCCTTTTCTCTAGTACCACCCTCAGGACAAACCTTTACACTACATTTGTACCTTCAATTGCAAGTAAGAACAATGTGTGTACGTGTGTGTGTGTTTGCGTGTGTGTGTGTGTGTGTGTGTGTGTTTGCATGTGAACCCACTCACAGCTTCCTTTGCAACAGGAAGCAACAACTAGCTTCATAGAAATGCCACAGTGAGTTTCTGTCTGCTATGTTAATGAGCTGTGTGTGTGTGTGTGTGTGTGTGTGTGTGTGTGTGTGTGTGTGTGTGTGTTCCTTCCTTATGAACACTTACTGAAACTGATGAACTTAACAAAATGTCTGAATCATCTTTTCACACAGTTTCAAATTAACTCGGTTTCTCTCAAACAGCAGATTTAAAGTAAAAATACCTCAAACATACGTTCTTTATTTTCTTACAGCTGTATCTGACCACAGCACTTTATTTTTGTGTCTGTCAATCAACGCTCTGAAGCCTCAGTTTGAGATTTTGTTCAGCGCCATCTTGGTTATTTCAAACTATAAGAGATCATATATGTAGGAGTGGGGTTGGAGCCTGACTGAGAGTGAGAGGACACTTACACCTGCATCCATTGGACAGTACTAGCCGTCAATCATACTGTGGTCTCCACCCCTTTACATCCGGTGCTTTGTGGTCTGTCTGACTCTAAATGATCAAAACTGATAAATGAACATCAGCTGTTTGAAGACGACTTGAGACTGAGACAAAAACTCCTGAGGACAAAGTTTACTGACGTTATAAAGTGAGAGGAGACATTTTCTACTACCAGAGGAGTCGTCCCCTGCTGGTCACTACAGAGAAGACAGGTTTCACTTTCCAAACCCGGAGTCTAAGTCCATTAAACTAGTGTTTGATTTCGTCAGGCTAGTTTTCTCTCTCTATCCAACACTCACACGACAAGACTGACATATTGAGACTATTGAGCAAACGTTTGAATATCATGTCTCATCGTTTATCTGGTTTCAGTGGTGAGATAACGATCAGAGTTTCAGAACAGACTTTTTCTTATTGACACATGAAACAAACAGTGGCTGCGGTGAAGCCGTTTGATTTATTCTCATTTGTTTGTCATTGCTTCTGGTCTATCTTGATAACAAGCTGAGCGTCCTGATTCCCCCCCGTTGGCTGCAGTATAGGTCAAAACTCTGCCTCCTCCATGTTAGCAGGTGCGACATGAACCAGACATAAAAAAAATCAAAGTAGAAGTAAAATCACAAATAATGATTTTGTATTTAAAATAATCCTCAGTGATGTTGGAGGTGGACGACTACAGACGTGAAGATAGATA